TCTCGGCGCTTCATCCTCCTAGGCTATTTTTGGCGTGTCGCATGTCCTCGATCCCAGAGAAATGAAAAATGTCGAGCGCCCAAACTTTTGTGATGACGTCGTGCCAAAGTAAATAAACTCGGGAGCACGCGACTGGTCAAATAGCCTAGGCAACAAACCTCTCATTAATATTCATTTTGAAGTCTTGCTGGTTACGTCATTCAGCTGGCTGCAGCTTTGTTTTGATTTCTACGATCGGACTACGATCGATAGCGACAAATAAACAGTGCCAAAAATGCTCCCATTTTGTAATAAATTGCACTATTTTGGCTAAGGGGGTTCGCTGGCAAAAGGGGGGTTCGCTGAAAAAGGGGGGTTCGCCCAAACCCCTAAAACCCCCCTGGCTACGGGCCTGCTCACACTGTTGCTAAGGTCCTTGGCCGACTCAGTCCCCTTGAGTGCGCAATACAACAGGGCTGTCTGCCGTCGAGAATCAGCAGACAGCGTCACATGATTAGGTGCTCACAGACTGAGGGTAGGTTCGTCGGTCACTGGGTGTACAACCACATTATGACACAGCAACCGACCTAGGACCAATAGCCGCACTACAATGGCCGAGACTTAAATTTTATGTTCAGAATAGAACTAAATGGTATTCATAAGTTATAGTTCATAGTTCCTTTTTATTTTGTTATTTCTAAAATTCAATGAAATGAAAGTTAGACTTGTTACAGTGGTATGAAATGTACTAGACACTATACCAAATTATTGTATTTCTGGAATAGAAAAGAAAAATCATTGTCCTAGATGTGAAACTACATAGAAAATTATGGTTCTAAAGTTAATAATTCTTTAAGGGGACCAGTTACAGGTGCATAAGTCTCCAGCTGTCTCTTATACACATCTAGATGTGTATAAGAGACAGTATATATACTGTATATAAATTAGTTGGATAGTAAAAACATCTGTGAATCACCAAAAACATTTATATGTAGTTTGACTGGAATTAGATGACAAGTTATTCATTGTTAAACATTACACAATAATAATAATAATGGAATATCTACATTTTTTAGGGTATTTCCATATTTTATGACATATGTTTCAGGCTTACCAATTAACATGTTGATCTTTGAATTCTTACAGCCAACCTTGAAGAGTTGAGGGAACAGGAGGAAGAAGGAAGAAGGAGTGTACAGAATCAGTTAGAAGATTTAAGAATTAGGAAAGACGAGAAATTGCACCTTGTAGACGGTGAGACACACGAATTTGCAGAGTTCAAGAAACAGACAGCACTCATTGCCATCAACAGCAGAACAGGGAAGCCAATATTACCCAAAGTAAGACTTTCTTTAATCAGTTCCACAGGGTGAAGGCACCAAGGGAGAGGAGGGAAACCCAGCTGACCAGTAGATCAGTATGACAGCATCCTGCTCCTCTACATAATGTTACAAAAGCTAGCCTGAAGCTTGACCATTCAGAAAATAGCTTCTTTCCAAGATTTGAATTTGGGTCTAATCGGTGGGTTAAAGGACAAAGTTTGTATGTATTTCAACTCTTTGCCTATCAGTTGGTGCTGCACTGCGGTTGCCGCAGGTTGCCAGTAATCCAGTCAAAATTTCATATTTCTATTTGAAAAAACAAAAATAAAATATTTATTTTATAATGATCCTTAGTGATCTAGTTTACTTCTAATAAAAATTAAATTAAATCAAAATAATAATGCATCAATTAAAACTTTGACCAAAGTTCTACTAATCTGTGAGGCCTAGTTGGTAACTGTTCATTCTTAATACTTTCTTGTCATGATACCTACTTTGCTGTGATTGGATAGTTTCCTCATTTAAATAAATGCATATTAATTAGGATTTCTAGTAATTTGTATTGTATATATTTTGTCTCTTTTTGTTATGTATTATTCCAAATGATGCTTAAATAAAAGCGAAACATAGAATAAAATGATCTTGTCAATTTTGGAGTGACATTCATACTGTTCCTAGTTGGTATAATCTGTATTTATTTTTAATTTTTACAATTTTAAAGGATGTTGAACAATATTTATTAAATGAAGTGAAGAAAGAAGATGAAGTTAAACAAGTACGACTTGAGAATATCAAGTTAAAGAATCGATTGAAGAAGAGGGAACAGCAACTCAAGGCCAAAGAAGAGCTTGCTGAAGGCCTGCATCTCATTGATTTTGAACAGCTTAAGATTGAAAATCAGACATACAATGAAAAGATCGAGGAGAGAAACGAGGTAAATATTAGAAACATGAGGGATCCCAAGTTTCTCGCAGGTCACAAGAGTCTTCCAGAAATAGGGATGACCTCCCGCACTCCTACAACCGGACCATTGCTTTTTATCTTAAAAAGGCACAAGGCTTTTTTAAGAATTCTGGCATTTGTAAAACTTTGTGTGTTGAATTGTAGAAAGGCTTGCTTCTAATGATATCAGATTTCAGTAGTTCAGTGGGATTCTTTCTCTTTAATTTGTCAGTGGTACATTTACATGTAGGTCTATTATGAATCAGTTGCTGCCACAGTTCATCACTTGTTCAGTATACCACCATGATAACTTTATGTAATCCCTCCCCCTTGTGGCTCGACTCAACCGACATCAACTGTGACCGTGAGCTCTCCTATCGCCAGTTGCTCATGTTCCATTTTGCTGTGATCCAAAGGAATTTATGAGTGATTGAATGGTCATGTAACAGCAAAGCAACTCTATACTTTTAACTGCACATGTGCTGTGCTCTCTAAATTGTATCAAATTATGGTAGCATTGTGAAAGATAAAGGTAGGAAAACAACCCATGACTAGTAGCGTCATTGTGCTGAATTACATATGTACGTGGTCCATGACTACCTAGCAGCCATAAAGAGGCACGTCTACATGTTCACATCATTCATTGATGTGATGGCATCATGACCATATTTACAAAGGGCTTAACAAAGTGATCCTAATTGACCATAAATTATGCTGCTGGATTGTGCACATTTGAGGTTACCACCAGTTTTACTACAATACATGTGCTATGCTTCTCTCTGTATAGGAACTGCTGAAGCTGAGGAAAAAGATCACAAGTACAGTGCAAGTTTTAACTCATGTTAAGGAAAAACTACAGTTTGTCCAAGCAGAAAACCAAGTGCAGAAAGCCAAGCTGAAAGATGTTGAAGAATTAGTTGCTAGGGTAAGTCAATGTACCATCAGTATATTGAAATGGTATAACCTATTAAATTTTGTCAAATGTTATAGTATTTTTGCTGCAGTAACTGGTTGTCCTTTCTAAAGTGAGATGAAATTGGCCTGGTGCTAAGGTAGCTGCTAGAGAGAATTGCACATTGTAATCACTAGATGTTGCCCTAACACCTCGGCTGCCTGTGAATGGAAAGTTGTCTGTGCAAACATGAGCCAGTAAACTGTGAACGATAATTCTTTACTGCTCATATACTTTATTTGTGTGGGAAATTTTAAACCTATATTGTGTGTGCCAATAAATCCATCATGAGGCAGGTGGTGATTGTGGCTGATGGAATCATCATCGCTAAGGAATATGGCAATATTAACCACACACGAGTTCGACAATGGGGAGAGGACAGTAAGCCAGTTTGTAGTTCAAGATGTACATGCCCATATTCTAGATCAATCGACATAAACCTATGTTGTGTGTATGTTGTTATGTTGATTGTCCTTCAACAGGCATGTGCAGTTAACACTACAAATTGGGTTAATTAATTTTGTGGTTTTAGAGTGCCATTTTATAAAATTTGCTCACCTCAGCCCCAACCATGATTGGACTGAGTACGATCACTTAATACCTAAGGTGTTAGCGTACTTGGGTCAAATTCAGTGAGGTTAAAAATAAGTGCTATCCTGCAATGTACAAATAACAATGACTAGACACTGGGATTTGACTCACCCTGGCAATGTTCTCAAAATACAGCATAATAACATCTTTGGAATTTCAAACAGATAGGATGTAGATTTATGGGTTACTCTTCACAATTGTTTATAAGTAATCTAGGGACTAATGGAAAAATCATTGTCCTAGATGTGAAACTACATAGAAAATTATGGTTCTAAAGTTAATAATTCTTTAAGGGGACCAGTTACAGGTGCATAAGTCTCCAGTGGTCTTATCTTCAATATGAAGACAAAACCTTTTGTAGTAGACTGTGAAGTCAATATGCTTTAAAATCCGCCTTCATGTATCATTTTTTCCATGAGATTTACGATGTTCATTCTCGAGGTGTGACATGTGCCTCATACATTTAAATATTTTTATTAAGATCAAATTTATAAAATGAACTTTTCAGAAAAGGGATATCTTATCCCGTACCAAGAAAGCAAGGGACTGTTTACGGATTGACAACCAACGTCAAATGCAGAAGTGTGGACTTCTCGGTAACAAGCCACTACTACTTGACTTTGAGGAGAGGAAGGATGAAGGGGATGATTTGAGGGCGCGCCTTGAGTATTTAAAACGGAGACATGCGGAGTTGACGTTGGACAGCAATGGCCTAAAAAAGAAAATTGAAGAAGCAAGATCTGTGAGGAATTAGTGTAACCGAAGCAATGTTTTAATGTTTGCCAGTGTTTGTCGTACAGTATAAATTAAAAAAATTTCCTGTAAATACATAGTGTATAGCTTTATTGTAGGCACATAATAAATTTGATATTTAACAAAGCGTAAATTGGGTTCCGAAATTCTTATTTGCTTTGTCTACCAATCCAAAAGTTATTAGCCTCCCCAAATAGGCTATTGTCTTTACCTGTGTTCTTATTCCAGTTGTTGGTAGTAAATTTTTTGTTACCTTGATAACTAATCGTAGACTTGCCACTGGGCGCTCTCTATGCTCCAATGAATTTCCGTAAATCAACCATCCATTATATAATTAACTTGTTCAACTCAAATGTAATTAATGATACAAAATTTCAAACTAAGTGAGGTTCCAACTTGATGTTGGGTTTTTACTGATCGTTTTAATTATTAATCTTTTTTGCATTCCTGTTTCCCTTTGTATTGTTTTAACCATGTAAATTTTGATGCAATTCAAAATCAAAATGTTTTAATAATAAACCAGAATAAATAATAAATAAATAAAAACTAAAGTTTGGCAAGTCGGATTAATTTCAAACTTGGCAGAATGCAAAATGGTAATAATATGCTAAATAATTTGCATAATTAATATTTCTGTTTCTACTGGTTTAATAGTTATGCTTGAATTCAAAATAACTACACAAGAGAAAATTATTTTTTTTTAATAAATTATTTATTATTTGAATTGACCACTAATTTATTTACACAAGAACTTTACTACAGTACTGTACTTGCAAGCATTTTATAGGATTGACAATAATCCACACTGCGATGTACACTACTTCCATTTGATGTTGAAAATGCATGCTAGGGATTATAGAGGCTAACTTCAGGGCTGGAAAAAGTGCCCAACCACACAACCCGCATTCGGAGGCATCACGAATGTCCTGGATGCATTTTTATGGGAAAAAATTAAAAGAAATAAACTGTAGTGTGCTGGAGGCATTTTATTGAGACAATTGTCATGGTTGGAGGCAAACATTTTTTTCCCAGGCCTGACTAGTGTCCTAGGCCATGTTATTCTCAACCGTCAGGAGTGGAGTTGAAAACACAGTGGTTAAGATTCTTGTTTTGAAACTGTAGGGTACTAGGTTCAATTCCTGTTGCAGTAATAAGAGTTTTAAATACCCTCTCCCCCCCCCCCTGTCACACCCCCCCCCCCCCCCCCCCCAAAAAAAAAAAAAAAAAAAAAAAAAAACTCCACACCCTAAGCCTCATAATTAGAGTTGGTTATGTAAAGCATCTTATTTGTACGTTTGTCTTGCGATGGGATACACCACTTACTGATTCAGTTTGGTATTTGCATATCTTTGGCGCTGGGCCTACAAAACAATACACTGCATTACATTATCAATTTAATATATTACAAATAAAAGAGTACAGTATACACAATTTACACTGAATAATGTAAGAAATTGATTTGACACCCAGGCTGGGGGTGTGAAAGATGAGAATGTGGAACAAAGTTTCAGAATACGGAACTAAATCCCTATTCTAATGAAAACTTAATGGTCATTTTTAGTATTTTAACCCACATAATGGAACTAATTTGCCGCAAACCCAATCGACGCCCATGAAATATTTTAAATCTCAGTAGACAGGAGCTTGTGATCATCATTTGTGGCAAAGACAAACGAAACCAGTCACTTGTCGCAGTGTCAGAATTTCTTTAATCTGTTTTATTGCACTAAACTAACCGTTATATAACTAACATCACGCTATGTTGCTATTTTGCCTATTGTCAATGTTAAAACAACAATGATTTGGTGATGGTTTCTGCCTGAGAAATTCCTAGAATCATAAACTCAAATTTCTCAAATATTGTTTGTTAAACAGTTGTATGTTTAAACACTTATAAGTAAAGGAAATGTTGGTTTAAATGACTCTTTTACCATTTTATAACTCTCATTTTACTGTTTAACCCTGTATTAATAACTAAAAATTGATTTTTGCAACTAGTGACTGGTTTGGCTTGTCTTTGCCACATTTCATGTTTTTTCAGATCTTGATTTTTCTTTTTTTCTATAAATTCTTTGCTAAAAGTTCCAGCTGTTCTCTGGTCTTTGCAGCTTGATGTTCAAATTCCTTCATAGCCGTCTCTGCAACTTTCATCTGAAAGAAAACATTTTTGTCACCAATTTGAATACAAATGTACAGTACAATCAATTTGAAAGTCATGCTATAAAATCATACTATGTATATAAGGCTTGCCCTCCCAGAACCAGCATCAATGACCAAAAAATGAAAATGACTTTTTAATATATTCATATTCTCCAAATTGTAAGCTTTAAAACTACAGTATAGGTCATTTACTGGAAACGAATAATTATTACCAAATTTATGACTAATAATAATAAATTAAGAACATATTTTGGGAGATTTATTTTAACACGTTCGCAAGTTCATGTCTGACAAAGTGACAGTGTTCACTCGGGGACGCCAATGACGTTTTTAACGTCTAAACACATGTAAATGCGCAAGCAGTGTTCGCCAGAATGAGTGAACTCTCGCCCAGGGAAGAACCTGGAAGTAATGATACAAGTATTTTATGTTTGTTCATGTTTCATTAAAGTTAATTGGGAATGATTTGCTGCCTTATGGTGGTGCAAAGGAAAATATCAAGTAAACTTTATACATTACCAACTTATTTTTCTGTCGTATACATTCCAACTTTAAAAATTCTTCCATGGTCTTATCCTCAATGTCCTTTTTCAAGTTGATAAGGGCACAGTTGGGTGAATGCCTCTTGTGTTCGGACCTGTATATTATTACAGACAATGTTTCAAAAATATTTTTCAAATGCCTGATAGCTGTTATAGTTTTAGAAGAATACCATATTCCAGACTAACAACCATGTAGCCAGAATTTTTTACGCAAAGTATGGACTCAAAATATGAAATGATTTTATCATTACAAACCCACAGCTCCTACATGTATATTCTCTCGCATTAAGACAAGGTTTAAAATAGCAAATTACAACCAAAAAACAGGGGGTTGTCTTATATACACAAAACATACAAATATTTAATTTTTAAATCATGTCATCTTGCGTGTGGATCGTCTGCAACACGCAAACTTGTAGATTATAGTCCTCAAGACTTCTTTGCGACAATATCATACTTGTGAGTGTGCAACCAAGAACCAAAATAGCCTTGGAGGCTAGAGTACAAAATGAACTTTGAAGGGTGCAATGCCATAGCCAGCTACTGGGACAGTCCCACACATTTTTCTATTGGGTCTACAAAGAATGGGTCCACATTTTAAAAAATGGGTCTAAATTATGCTGTTTTATGCAAAAAAATGAGTCCAAATTTCTCATACAGTATTTTGCATAAAAAGGGTCAACTGAAAAATTTTTCATATTTTTGCATAAAAAAGGTAAAATTTTAAGAAAATTGGTCCACATTATTTGAAAGTTTATGAGTAAAGACCTGTTTATATTTGCTACAGTAACGATAAAAAGCAATTGTTCATGAATGTAGAAAATAAAATAATAACCAAATATTTTGCCAAATCAAATCAAATGTCATAATCATAGAAAAACGATAAAATCACAGTAGCAGCAACGATTTTTCCATGATTTTATGATGTCATTTGAATAGATTTGTCAAAATATTTTATCGTATACAAGTTAAATCCTTATCGAATTGTCCTAGGGTAAAAAAACTTCTCGTACTTCTTTTATTTTCTATATGAACAATTGCTTTTTAGCTTATTTTTATTATTGTTATCGTTGGAAGTATAAGCAGGCCTTAAAGTGGGTCCACTCTGATATTGTCTTGCACGGTTTAAAAATTCTGGCCACGGCATTGTAAGTGTGTGCTTACATTGGGTCATCATTAGGCTCCCAGCCATCAAGTTCCTTTTGACACATAAAACATTTGACAGCATCTGGTTCTTGATCTGTTGGACAATGATAGAACCCTGCAGCAGCCATCTGCAACCAATGCACATAAAAACAATAGATATTAATAAAAGTAAACAAACATAAACAGAAAATTATTAATAAAAATAAATTTTATACAGTAAATCAATCAAAACTATTTTCTATTCTAGACTTGTGGATGTCTCAAACATGGTAAAGCGTGGTACATAATCGTCCTGAAAATGGGACTGATCAGATCGGATATCCGCTACTGTTAGTGTTGTTGGCGTTAACTTTAGGTGGGTTAATTAGACGGCTTAAAATTCCTGATTTTCTGGAACCGATCTGGTTCGCGGGTGAAATGGATGGCATTACTTACTAGGCCTACTCTAGGCAGGCTATAACTAGGCCCTAGCCTTATGCTGCGGCGGCCTAGAATTTTTAGGACTAGGCTAGGCCTGACTCTAGTACTAGCCTACCTAGCTAGGGTAAAGGCCTAGGCCCTAGCCTACAGCCAGAGGCTAGGCTAGCCTAGGCCTAGCCCTAGTCTCTAGGTAGAGCAGAACAAACCTTCGCTGGTGTGCAGGAACAATCCTCTGTAAATGGCCAATCAACAAATGATGCAAGTCGTATTGAATATGTATTCATCATGAACTCCTTATACTTTTGATCTTCTGATGTTTTTTCACCCATGTTTAAGGACATTTTTGAATTAATCTCTGAAAACTGTTTTTGAAATCGGCGCCACTTTCCTTCTCGAGAGCTGAGAGGAACGATCAATGAACTAGACTATTTTTTGTTTACGACGCATGCGTGTGATTGTCACAGCATACGTCATTTGTGTTGATGAAAAGTATAACACGCCAGAATGGACATAGATCAAAATATATCTTAAGGTATTAATACCACAATACATTAATTTTCAAACTCAATACCGTATAGGCAAGGCCTATTATCAAAACTCGGTATAAAACAAACATGTTTCGGCAAATTCTTCGTCATCTTCAGTGAAACGATTGCTAACATGCAATCTACTTTATAAAGGGAGTGAACAAACTACTGTGACGCATTGTATTTTAAATAAATGGGAATTGAGAATCTGTTTGAAACAGACATCATGACATTTTTTTTATTTTATTTATTATTTCATTTCATGATGACATTTTTATTTCATTTCATCATGACATTGCATTTTTAAGGAATCGATTTCACTGTAATTGTAAAGAAGAAAGAATGGCATGAATAATTAAAGATGATAACGTAGTGATGAACATCAGAATGACAAAGTTAAATTAACATGTAAAAGTTGCTTGTTGAGAGAGGGCGTGTACCATTTGATATGCAATGCCTACATTTTTGCACAACCATTCTCAATTTTCAACTATAGCACTGTATGTGGTTGCTTAAATTATCTAATATATCCATTGTTACATTACAATTGGCTATTAAAATCTATTATTTATTTTAATTTATTTATTGTTTAACCTGGGTTAACAAATCAGTTGAAAACCAACTGTTATCCTTATGTGCCCAGGATACGATACTCATGTACAAAACACATAATCCTAATCTATTTAGGCCGTATACTTTAATAATAATAATAATAAAAATAATAATAACAATATAATTCATAAAAACAACATTAATGGCAGTAATAATAATAAGAATAATAATAATAATAATTTAATAATAATAATAATAATAATAGTAACATTAATAGGATTAAATATGTCAACAATTAAGATGCTAAGTAAACTGTTTTATCTGTCATCTCATACTATAGGGTAATTCATAAGAACAACATTGATAATAATGATGATGATGATAATAATAACATTAATAAGATTAAATACGCCTACAATTAAGATATTAAAAAAATATATATATATATTAACACTCATCTAATTATTAACCACTTTTTATTTTATAAAATGTTTGTTTATTAGTCAAAAGGAACAAAAAATTTAATAAAATAACGGAAAAAGCAAGATTGATTTAGATTAATCTACTTCCTTGGGCAGAGTTCAACAATTCGGTTCCTGAATTTCAACATCCTTCTGCCTGACTGTTTTTTTTTTTTTTTTTTTTTTTTGTTCTGGATAGGAATCTTCAAATTACCTCTAGTACTTCCCCTAGTATTTTGAGAATGAACTCTGCCCAATGGAGTAAAGACTTTACTTCATTGGGCAGAAAAAGACGTCAGAAAGGAACAGTGGGGAATTCTGCCATCCAAAATTTCTTAACTAAGGTGAGAGTGAGAATATGTGTAGGCCTATTTATTACATATTAATTTGAATCAACATATTTATGCATATATGTAAAAGTTTACAAATTTGTCTACCCCTCCCCCTTAGCGTACTGTTTGTACACTTGTGGAAATGTTGATAATGTTGAACAACCCCTACAGTATGTAGAATGACGTACATATACAGTAATTGCTTTCCGGTATGTCCATTCTGGCGTGTCGTATGCAAGACCAAAATAAGATTTTGGCAATGACGTCATTACTTATCTCGAGTTAATGACGTATTTGTTCAGATCAGATCGTCGAAAAGCTGAGCAGTGTGAGGGTTCTGTGAGTTTGTTTTCTTTATCGTGTTGGTATGTATGTAAATTTATCATAAAAATCTTAATTCTAGAATTAGTAGGGTATATAAGCTTAACTGGTCCATGCCTTTGGCTAAACCTTTAGTTAGTTAGAGAGAGAGAGAGGTATATATACTATTATTATGGTTAGTTTTTAGAGTAAGATCTAGCTAGGCCTAGCCTACTTCTACTACTAGGCCTAGGCCCTGCCCTACTACTAGGGGTCTAGGTAGGCTAGGCTAGCTAGGGGTAGCCGATCATTTCGGTCGCGCTTATTTCGAACAAATATATGGAGCGCCAAAAATGTTGCGAAAACGCAAAATCTAATAATAAATATATATGCCTATATATATTTATTATTATATTTATATATAGGCCTATATTTATTATTAGATTTATATATATATATATATATGGGCCTATATAGGCCTATGTATATATATATATATATATATATATATATATATACATATATATATATTTATATAATATTCTGATATTTTTTTTTTT